ACCTCGCAGGGTGCCGGACAAACTCTCCCGGTGAACTCCGGGAAATTATTCGTTTGTAGCAACTGCTCAAGAGCTTGACGCCAGTTCTTCTTGAACACGTAGTCGTTCCACTTCGGAATGATATTTCCAAGTGGGCATCCGGTATTACCCTGACAGAATGGAACACCGCAATCCATGCACCTGCAAAATTGATGCTTTGCTTTGAAAAGGAAGTCGTGAACTAGCCAGACCTTGCAGCTTGCTCGCGTATATTGCTTCTGACAGACTCGAAATCGTAAACCTCATCCCAGTCCTTCAAACGTTCCTCAGGCGCTCGATACATCTTCTTTTGGCGGTTATACTTGACAAAGCCACTGAAATACTTGAATGTCACGAAGATACAATTATTGTGTCATAACACGTTTTTTTATACTTGAGAGATGGAATCTTCCCAGCTTTCTTGCAAATTAATCACAAAAAATTCATATAATCTGAAATATTTCTAATTTTTTGACAAGTTTCCGACTCGCATTGTTGAACAGCCAAAATTCACTGATGCAGAAAGTGAATATAGGAGGATGCGGTAATTTTTCAAAAGAAAATGAGAAAATTAAGACGAAATTGCTGCCACAACATTGTATATATACTGCAACTCCTTTTCGTAACGATCTGAACTACGAACATGAATAGTCATTTGTTCCTTCCTCATGTATGCATATGATACTCTGCTGAAATTTCTAGAGTTTTTCGAAGGTGAAAAAAGTGCAGAAACTTATTTCATAACTTGATAAAAGTTACAAGTTCTAAAAAAGAACTGACCGCAGCTTATCAAGTGGCTCATTGTTCTTCTTCAGGTGTGGAGGTACGACGATGTTTTCGATATCGAGGTCTTTGTTCACATGTTGTAAGAAGTCGTTCGAGTGTAGAAGCTGGAAAGAGATAAGCACGAATAGTTTATGTAAAAATAACGTATTATATGATAAACCTCATCATCTGACAGCAGCTCCTCGTCATTATCCGATTTTGCTCCTTCTTCTTCGTTATCCTCGATGGCTTCCTGCACATCTTCCTCGTCTTCGAAACCGGCTATATCTTGAGGTCGCGGATTTCGCGACAGTTTACGTTTGCGTTGAGATATCTGTAACAACAAATTTTTACTGAACAATATTTCACATTCAAAAGGAATTTCATGCCAATTCAAAGTGAAAGGTAAGAAGGCTATACACTGCACGCTTTGTTACAACATGGCTAGATCTACTATCTATACAAGCACCACTACTTTTACAATTCAC